ATATATATGCATTAGTAATGATATATATATATATATATATTGTAGTTATGTGTATATGTGTTTTATTAATTATAAATAATTTTATTTTAATATATATATATATATATTTGTATATATATGTAAATTTATATGTATATATTAATTTAAATACATGTAGATGAATATTTGGATATTTAATAATATTTTTAAATGTTGAGTCAGTAGTTTTTTGCTGAGTCAACAGTTTTTTTTGCTGAGTCAACAGTTGCGTTTGTTTGATTTGAAAAAAATTTAAAAATTTGGGTATTTATGTGGGAGTTTTGAAAAGTTCACGTATTTATATGATAATTTTATAATTCGGATATTTATTTAGGATTTTTGTAAAAATTCGGATATTTTTATGCGATTACCCCTTCAATTAACAATTTCCTACAAAATTCATAGGTTTGTCAGTTTTTCCAAAACAAAAACAACTAAGGAAATGGTGATATTTTCTTATTGATTTAAACGTCATGTTTCTAAATATTTGTGCATGTTTTTTACATTGGATGTTAAATTTTAAGTTATGTAATGATCAAATATTGATAATTATGTAGATTTTATTTGAGAAAATATGGTTTTGTAAATCCCTTGAAATTCTAACTTCTCCACTAAATTATAGTAAAATAACTGCATGCAGAAAATAAAATTTGTTTTTATATATAATTCTATACTGAAACAGAGATTCCAACGGTTTTCGATTTTTTTTTTCATTAGGAAAGAAAATAAATATAAAAGGGGAAAAAAAGACAAAAGGTAGATAATTACGACACGTCGTTCCAAAAAATGTTGTCGCGAGAAAACGACAAAGCAACGCAGTGACTTTATTAAAGCTTTTGTCTGTGTCGTTCGTCTAAAGATTCTCTAATAAACCTATCATGGTTCTCCATGGGATTAATTTAATTTTTTTTTTGGTTGAAGGATTAATTTAAATTAGTTATGGTAAATAGATCAAACACGACGACACATCATCATCAATGTTTCTCTATCAAAATTAACAAAAAAAAATCAATGTTTGCAAACTTTCGCAACCCAACAAACATAAGTTCGACGAACGCCATAAAAAATTATTTTGCAAATTTTTGATATTAAGTTAAGCAAAATCAATAATATCCAAAATTGTAATTCTTTTGTAAAAATAACATTTTATGAGAATGTCAGCGAATAATATGATTTGATTCTTATATATATATATAATTGATGATTATATAAGATTAGTTGTATAACTTGGATCAAATAATGCATGATGGATCGGATTCGGATTAATTAGCGTGTCAAGCTTTTTAAGCATGGGATAAGGCTATAATAAGTTTGTTTGGTTATTTGATTAGTGAATAAAGTGATATGCTTTTATGGGGGAGATCGAACGTGTTAATTTTGATCACGAATTATTTTACTAGCTAATCCGAAACAAATTCCGTTAAATTAATTATTATCTCAACTTTATAATAAAATGGGTCCAATGATAATAACAATAAAAAAAAAGGAATCGATGAAGAGACAAACGGTATCCCATGAGATCGAAAGCTTTTGCCAAATTGTAACGTACGGTTTTGGTGTAGAGTATTGTTCAACTTTTTCTCTAATGGAATATCTTCTACTACACCTACTTAGGATGTCAATTTAGATCCGAGGCCCGAAACGCGGCTCGACCTAACCCGAAAATTAGGAGTTTCGGGTATAAGTTTTTCGGTCCAAAAAAATCGAGTTTTCGGATCGGACTTGAATCGGATTTCGGGCTTAAATCGGACCGGTCCGAAAATCTGATATTTTTTTTTTAAAAAAGAAAAAAAGAAAGAAGATTTACAAATGAATTTATGTGGCTCGATCCGACCCGAACACGTTATATATAGGATCGAGTTTCAGGTTTAATTATATAGGCCCGAAAAAATCGAATTGAGGCCGAAACCTTTCGGACCAAGTGTAGGCTCGGACCGGATCGGGCCGGCCCGGGCCGATTGACACCCCTAATTACACCACAAACACAATTAATTTAGACGAATTATTATTATTATTATTATTATTATTATATAGTTTATATAAAATATTAGCCAAACCGTGAAATTACACAGCGTGACATTTTTTGGTATATTTATTTACAAAACACAATATTTTTTATAAGTTATAAATTAATCGTTGTTATTATTGATCATACAAAATTAAATAAGTCATCTTGTTTCTTTTTTGCGCAATTCCTAATTATATATATATATAAATACAACTTTAAATAGAATAAAAATTTAAACCAAATGGAAATTATAATAATATCTCGATCCAAACTTCTATGAGCGTATCATATGAATATCACAGTAGTGTGAGTAACAAACATGCTCTCTCTCTATATATATATACACTCCTAAACAAGATTTAGAATTATGGATCAATTCGATGGGTGGTTTATTGAAGAGCCGAGCTCTATGTCACCATCATCAACCATTTCACCAGCCTCCTCTTCAACAATTTCACCCCCTTCACGGTCTTGTTTGGACCGACCAGGCTGCTTATTACTGTCGATATTGTTGCTGCTGCTGCTGCTGTTGTTGTTGTTGCTGTTATCAACATCCAACTTGTTGTGTTTCTTCTGATCCTTCCTCTTGTCTCTGACTCGGTCATGCCATTGCCTCAATGCCCTTGCTATTTGTTCTTCCAAGATTGCGCTCTTGTAGCTTGACCCCATCTAATTAATCATCCACCAAACACATGCGTGAAATGAAATCCCATTTCTTTCTTTGTTTTTTTTAATCATTATCCTATTTACTAGCTAATTTACATTGCCAATAATATTCATGGTTGAAGTTATTTGTATAATAATATTATGGATTTTCGTTTTTTTGTTGTTGTTGTTATGGTATCCGAATTATTTTATCCGTTTAACCAATGGAACCCACCAAAATATCCCCTGCCATAATTAACGTAATGTAGCTGCACAAGACCTGGACAGTCACCCTGTAATGTCATCAAGAATCAAGAATCATGTCATTGCTAAATTGAAATATATATTACTATTATTAAACCAACATAACAATATAATGTTGCGCAGAGAAAGCGTATACGCGCAATAATTAAAATAAAAAAAGATATCGTGTGATGTGATGGTTATTAATATATATATATATAGCTTACGCTAACACGACTCGGGTGACGATGAACTCGGTGTGTTCATGGTAACAAGACTTTAACCCGAATTGCCACTGAAATTTCAAGAGTATTCCAAGAAAAATGTTATATATATATATATATATATATATAAAATAAGAAAATAAAATACGGATAATATCTTGCTTTATTAGATGTGTCTCTTTTCTACATATTTTTGTTGAAATCAAATAATGAAAACTCGAGGCAAATAATTGAAAGGATACTTACAGTGACCCATAGAAAAAATGACATCTCGAACGTGTTCTGAATCAAACAACAAGAAAAACAACTTCACTCAAATTTGTGTCGGAATTTTATTTATTTATTGGAAAATAAATCGAATAAATTTCGGAAACAGTTGAGTAAAAAAGCGCATACTAAAAACAGCGTGTAGTGCAGGAGGGTTAAGACGAAACGGGGATGACGGAACCAGAAATGCGTGTCGTTTGGCTCAACGAGAGGACTTCCTTTTATCACATGGCTTTGCTCTTTGATCTGAAGCGCCATCTTCGCCACGATCACTTCCAATTTCGTCCCCACAACCAAAACTATCTACACATACCCCATTAATTAATTAATAAAATCTATATATGTATAATATCCTATAAATATAAGTAAATATGCATTTATTTATAAAATGGATGACGTCTTGATAAAGAACAATTTAATGGTAATTTATTATGATAGAGATTAGAGAATATATATATATATACATACATACTTACAATCAGTGGTACAAATGACATCCAAAGGTATATTTGCCAACCTGTGACACGTCATTAATTCATTTTAGAAAAATGTGATGACGTGGACACTAAACATATTAACTTATGTGTGTGTATTTATATGCATGCATGTACAATAAATATAAGGCATATATTTGTAAAAGGAGTTTGATTCGGATAAAGTTACCATGAACGTCGAGGAGCATGAAGACGACCACTGTTAGCCACATAAGAGGACTAAAACAAATCGCAAATAAATATATAGTTAGATACAATTATAGACATAAAATATTTATGATTATGCACATATATATATATATATATATATATATAGTGTAATGCATTTTCAATTACGTGATTCCAACAACAGCTTTGAAATCGTCGTCCAACGATCTTTGTATATACTTTTGGAAGTTGAATGCGTTGTTGGACGATAGGTGAGCCTGCATTTATTTAGATTTTTATAGCGTCAAATCTATAATAAGTAATTAAATTTAAAAGAAATATATATATATATATATATAGAGAGAGAGAGAGAGAGAGAGAGAGAGAATATATAATACTAACAGAGATGAAGCCGTGTCGGAGAGTGAGATAGTCAACTTTGGCCACGGAGTGGAAGAATTGCCTTAAGAAACATTTCTAAGCGGATAAACCTTAATTAATCAGTTAGTGTACATATTACCCAAATATAGTCATTGTTTTTACTTAATAATAATTCAAATATATATATATATATGTATATATTATATAATAAAGATAAAAAAAAAAGAGATGAACTTACGATCCAAAGTTGGAATGATGTTTGAGTGCAAGAACTGAGGTGGCGACGAGCAAAGGTTGTTTGTCTTGTAATTCTAAATCTATTGGGATCTAAAACCAAACGACAGACGAAAACATTCAGAATACGGCACGCGTGCCGTCCTTAACATTGTGAAACGGAATACTTGCCGTTTCGCTTTAACCGAGACAAAAATCTCACCGTTTGCTGCCAGGTACTCCACCGTCTGTGTTTCCTTCTCCCAAGATTCCCATCTCCTCATCTACATTTTAAAAAAATACAATATAATGATGTACCATATTAGGTTTAATATTCTACTTATATATATATATATACATATATATATATATGTCATGAATAGAAAACACTTCAACAGACTACTTCAAAATATGGACATTGTGTGGTATTATCTATAGCTTCTATCCATCATATATAATTCGGCTGATTTTACATATAAATATATATGGATATTGGTTTTGTAATGTCATGAGTTATTTTGAGAAAAAGGAGGCAATGAGCCATTAATTGTAGAAAGGTGGGCCAACTGTTCAAGTTAGATGTAGTTGGGCCGTAGTTGGGCGGAAAGCTCGGTGAACATCCTCATTATAAAAAAAACAAAAGGGAAGCAATGAGGAGAGTGACTACCTTAGCCCTACCAAGGCCCATAGTGGCAAGGCTAAATACAATTTGCATAGCGGCCAGCACAAAGATGAAGAAACTCAGCTGATTCAACCCTTCTCGTGAAATTACTGGTGTATTTTTCTGTCATTATGTACACCCATAAATCAAAATCAATATATATATAGAGAGAGATTTCCTAATTTAATATTGGATTGATATATATATATATATATATATCCACTGTTATTTCTTGAAAGCACCATATAATTAAGGGCAGGAAACCTTGGAAGAGCATTGACCAGAGGCGGGATCATCACGAGTGCTTAGTTTGATTCTATGACAAGGCAGCATTCGATTGGCATACTTTGTGGGCACACAGATTTTAGAAACTGGTCCTTGAATCACCGTTAATATCAGCGACATGAACCCTAACACCATTAACACTGTCCATTCGAACATGTCAGATACATAACATCATCGTTTTCACAAAATAACCACAATTTGAAAAAGTAAAATGGCCATATCGCTGGAATCTCACCGAAGGTTTAAATGGCTTCAAATTTCATGATATATACATATATACATATATATATATATATATATATGTATATATGTATATATATGGTTTATCATTCTTGAACAATGCCTAATTAGAGGAAAGACAAAAAGGAAAGAGAAGTCCAACCTGATTTGAGTTTTTCTGTAGATTCAAGCAAGGATGTTTTCCTATGTTTCCTAAGTCCCTGCATGCACAAGATCCCACACGATATATATTATAAGATCCCATGATGATATTGGATCCTGTATATATATATATATGTATAACTTTTACACATCATCATCTAGCATTTTGAGTTGGTTGTCTAGTCCTTCGATCTTTTTGAATAGAACACCGGAATCGATTCTTTCAAGCTTATGTACGTACGTATGTGTGTGTATGTATATATATATATGTATGTATGTATGTATGCATGTATGTATGTATGTATGTATGTATGTAGCTTCAAACAAGGGATGGTCCCGAGTCTAGGGTGGATGTAGTCGGGCCGAAGGTTCGGGGAACCATCCTGTTTATAAAAAAAAAATGTATGTATGTATGTATATATGTATGGCTTACAATGGAAAGAAGATGGATGAGATGCTCGAGTAGAATAGAGACGGCGACGAAGACCAAGATAACAGTGGCTAGAGCCCAAGTGGGAGTCTCTTGAAGAGAACGAGCAGCCCCCACCGTCGTCGATTTGAATCCCCCTTCGTTGATCGCCATATCCTTGAGTCTTCCGGCGAATCTATGGTTTCGGACATGTGTATATATTTGTATATATAGATTAAAGGCAATATACCAATGAATAGTTGAAAAGAACAGAACAAAGAATTTGTCAAACCCTTTCAAGACTTTAATGTGTCATTTACTTCCAAGACTGCTGGGGAGTGGGGAAGGTTTTTCTTATACGCCCGTGCTGACTTCGTCCACTTATTATATATTAGTATTTTTTTAATATATATTTTCTGTAGGAATAATACGTACTCTACAAATTTTTTTTATAATATAGTATAATGTCTGCATATATACATATATGGTCAAGGTATACGTATTTGAGTGACAGGTTTAGGGTTTAAATATCTTCATAAAAAAATTGCAATGATATATGAGTCTGTATATTTAATATGTGTGACGAATCTATAATGATTCATTGGTCCGTCTATATGTTTTTTTTTTTGTTATTTTAATAGGCACGGACTTTCATGATATCGTAATAATGTATGAGAGACTGGTCCATCTAATCTTGTAGGATTGGATTTTCATGATCCCTCATATAATGACTTTCTTTCTTCTAAACAATAATTATGCATTAATTTGATGTCCAACCATATATCCCCCCCTGCAAAATTTGGAAAATAAAGAAGACGAAATTAATATTAAATATTAGGAGAGAATTTAATATACTAGTGTAAATAATATATTATATTTCTTATTTAAGAGTAAATTTAAAATATATATAAGCAAATTATATGGTCTTCATCTCTGTTGTTTGTCAATTTTGAAATGGGTTTGAGTATTTTTATTTTCCAACTAGAGTTAGTATTTTTTTGGTAATTAGACCCGAGATTCGAATTTCGGTCCAAACCCACCCAAAAAATATCGGATTTCAAATCTAATTTTTTTGTCTGAAAAAAATCAGGTTGGACTGAGTCGGATCGGTGTGAAAATCCGATATTTTTTTCTAAAAAAATAATTAAAAAATAAAGGAAAAATAAAATTATAAAGGAATTGGACGGATCGGTCCTGTTCGATTGGAGTCCGAAACTTCTAGGGTTGGATTTCGGACCGGGTCAACCCAATTGAGACCCCTAGTGTTTGTGTATGATCTCAGTGATGATTATGTTAACTGACCAAACTACCTTTGTGTAGTCAGTGTTGCATTAAACAACCACGGACCACCGTTGTCTCCTTTAAAGATAAAGCATAGACCACGTATTTTTTATTATTCATAATAAAAGTAAATGTTTAGGTCAATTTCTTTAGACTTAATACTCGAAAACTATTTTTCGCAAATATTAATTGTTTATTTGTTTTTGAAAAAGAAAAATTATGAGACAGTCTTTGGTCATCCTTTTCTCGCGGAAGACCAGACAAGCCTTCTCTAGGTATGATCGATTGTTGTTGTTTTTTTTTTTTTTTTTTTTTGGTTTATTTTTTTTTTTTTTGGCCTTTTCTTTATGTGTATTTAATTTTTGAAAATGTTGACCCTGAGATTTCCGACCGAAAGCGAATGTTAAATACATAGAATTTTTAGAATAAATGGTATAGACGGTTTAATATGTTATGTGCGAAATGGATCAATTCTTTATACCAATTTTTTATCGTTTTATGCGTTGATCTAGGGATATGAACGAGAATTAATCCGAATATTCAAGATTTTGAAGTATAATATCATTCAGAACATTCGTGTTCTATCTAAAAAAATACATAATTATTTATCTGATATATTATTAATCTATATAGTAATGATAAACAAACCCTAGAACCTAGCCATATCAGAATAAAATTTTGTTCGGCTCCAAAAGATGAAATGTCGTTTATATAATTAGAACAAGTCCTCGTTATGAATATTTGTGATGTTTTTATTCTTATAATCTAACTTTAAACAATTTCATTTAATTATGTATTTGTACGTAAAATTTATTTTGATTCGATTTCACCCGTGGTATCGTCCCACTGAATTCAGCCCTCTGGTTCAGACACAAAACTTACACCTGTCAAATACATGCACACAGACATCTGAGAATTTGTGTATCCTATATGTGCTTTTGTAAGTTTTTTTTTTATTTATTTATAAAAAAATAAATTTAACGATCTGGGTTTTCGAAGAGATGGATACAGCAGTGGTGAAGGGTTTGATAGAATTCTTTGAGCAATACTGCGTCGTTTTGTTCTTGGGTGCTTCCTCCTTGGTGGTCTTGACGGCGTTCGTAGTTCGCTACGTCGGCTGCGGCGACGGAGACGGTGGTGACCACAAGGACCGAACCGCTCGGCGTCTCCGAGCCTTGCATGGCTCTCCTCTCCGTCTCCATTGAATTTCGTGCCGCGAGATTGGTCGGAGCTGGGGTGGTATTTTCCATTTTTATCCAAGAGTTTTTCAATTTTTCCTCACATTGGCTAAGTTAGTGTTGAAATATAAAACTATATATCCATTACCCACCAAGGCAATTTAACAATATCAATTTAAATCTATGTAATGATAAAAGAGTATGGATATATATATACACACACATATTATAAAATGGAATATAATTGCGTGGAAAAAAAGTCAAACAGGAGCCGTTGGATCTTATCTACAAAAATAGATACTAGAAACCTAGAACTCTTCCGTGATCTTCACTTTTCATCACTAGCCTCCTCTAACCCAAATACCCCTAACTTTCACTTTATTTACACCCCTGCCCTTCCGCCCACCTCCATATCTCTCTCCTCGCATACGCCTGCCCTTTCCATTTTCCGTACAACAATGGCGAGAGGCTCTTCGCAGTCCCAATCCTCGACCTCCAGCGCTCGGCCCGGCCTCGCCGCGCCACGTGGATCCGCCGCCGCAACCGCCGGCATGCGTCGCCGGAGACTCGGTGGCGGAGGAGGAGGAGGGTCGTCCGGAGGATCCGCCGGAGCAGAGCCCAGCAACATGCTGAGGTTCTACACGGACGAGGCTCCTGGTCTGAAGATCTCGCCGACCGTCGTCCTCGTCATGAGCCTCTGCTTCATCGGCTTCGTCACCGCTCTTCACGTCTTCGGTAAGCTCTACCGCCACACAACCGGGTCCGACGCCCCCGATCCGACCCGGTAATCTTCGCGATCTGGTGATCGGCGGTTTTCCCCGGTTCTTCTTCTGGAATGGATTTTGTTTTTTTTTTGTTTGACGGTCCACGTAAACCTCTAAATGTTGAATAAAAAAATGTTACTTTTCGGCAATTGGGTCTTTTTCGAATCTAATATCTATCTCATTCACTGCTACAAAAGTAACTAGCATACGCAATGGGTAGATATAACCTAACCGGTTCGGTTTAGCAAGTAAACCGACATTGAATTATGCATCGCCGATCATTTTTTTTTGTCGGTTTGTATATATTTATGTAGGAGGAACGGATGTAGAGCACAATAAGCTTATGAAGATGGGTTCTTTATGTCAAGTGATTGTGTTGAAAAAAAAAAAAATTCTTTGGCATTACGAAGTTGACGGGGGAAAATTATATTATGAGCCCTAATCTTTTCACTTCAAACCATAACAAACCCTAAATTTTTGAAAATCAATATTAAACCCTAAAGTTTTGCAAATCTCACATCAAACCTTATCTTTTTTTAGTTTGATTTGTTTCAAACCATCAATAATAATAATAGAATAACAAGTACTTCTATTATCTATCAAATAACAAGTTATGAAACAACATCTAAACTTTTAAAATGTCGTGAAAAAGTTCACATCAAAATGTAAGTGTTTAATATGTGAACTTCAAAATTAAGGTTTGTTTTGATTTTTGTGGAAAGAAGTTAAGGTTTAATATATAAGTTTTATAAAATTCTTGTTATTAGTCAAAACCATGGGGTTTCAAATAGAAAAAAAAATCACAGAAATATGCATGAAGTTACCAAAAACATTTTCACAATTCTTTCATATACGTACATGAATTTTCATACTATTAAATTATTAATCGGTTCTCACCATCACTAAATAAAATAACGGCTAAAATACTATATTAAAAATAATAACATATCAAATACCTGAAGGAATCCAATAAAGTTTTTTTTTAAAAAAAATTGCGATAAAATATTCTTTTTTTAAAATTTAATAACTTGATATTTTTTTCTCAAACAAAGCTTAGGTATTTGTATATAGGCCCATAAGTATACATATGGGCTGAAGAGGTTAGCCCATTATGAGGAAATTAATGAATCCAAAGAAAGGCCCTCGTGAAAAAACTGAATTAAATATAATAAATATTTGAAACTGTAATTATATAATTCAAGTCCGTCGTTCACGCTCCGCGCCACGTTTGGGGGGAGAGAGAGAGAGGCCAAAAATGGAGGAGAGAGAGAAGGTGAGGGTTTGTGGATGAAGAAGAAAGGGAAGAATCGGTGAGGTCGAAGAAGAATGCGAAGGACGACGGAGGTATGACGGTGATCGATATCGTGTTCAGGGTCGAAGAGATCTGCAAAAGGTACGAGAAGTACGATGTCGACAAGCAGCGCGAGCTCGGCGCTTACGGCGACGATGCCTTCGCTCGCCTCTACGCCTCCATTGATTCCGACATCGAGGACGTTCTTCGTGTTCGTATCCTTCTCTCATCACTTTAGATTCCTTTCCATCTGCTTCTTCTTTTTCGTGAAATTTAGCGATCCTTCGTTTGAATTGAATTGGTTTCCGGCTTTTTCGCCGGGGAAATGTTTCGTTTCATGAGGAAAATATTTTCCAGGAAAGTGTGGGTTCTGAATGGAATTGCTTATATGATTTTTCTGTCGTCTGTGACTTCTGATTCAAGCTGATTTGGTCTGGATGATGACAATGTATAATCTTTCACATATTAAAATGTGTAATTGAAGGGGCTAACCTATGAAACCATATTGAGATTTTCATTCACGTTTGTTTCCTTTATTTATGCAAATATTTCTGTTTATGGATGGATTTCTTGACGATCATAGTTCAAAAACTGACAAAGACATGTTGAGTCATATATCCATAGCTGTCCAGAACCGAAACTGCGTGCTACTGTTCTGTACAAGCTCGATAAAATGTTGTATTTACTCCATAAGATGGGGACTGAAGAAAGCAAATTATAGAATTTGATCATAAGTTGAGAACTACTTTCCTGTTTTGCTTACTTAAAGTTCCATGAGAATTCATATCGGTTTAACGAATCAATGTGATTGAATTCACATCCATATCAATGGTGTATGCAGAAAGCAGAGTTGGCATCAACGGAGAACAATAGAGCTGCAGCAGTGGCCATGAACGCTGAGGTCCGAAGGACAAAGGCGCGTTTAGTGGAAGATATCGTCAAGCTTCAGAAATTGGCTGCAAAGAAGGTCCATACGAATCTTTTTCACATTTTAATTTCCTTTCAAGAACTAGCGCCTGGAAAGTACTGAAACTTTTGTGGAAATTATTGGTACACAGTTCAAAGGGCTTTCGAAAGAGGAACGAGAATCCCGTTGTGATTTGGTTATTGCATTGGCCGATAGGATTCAAGAAATACCAGATGGGAATGCAAATGCAGCCAAACAAGATGGAGCCTGGGGAGCTTCAGCACCTAACAAAATCAAGTTTGACCTATCAGGTTTTTGTCCCAGCCATTTCTTTTCTCTTGTCCTGAAACTATAGCTTTTACCTGATTATAATCTCTTCCCTGGTGACCATCAGAGGAAGACATGAACGAGGGTTTCTTCCAGCAAACTGAAGAATCCGACCAGTTTAGGCAAGAATATGAAATTAGGAAAAAGAAACAGGCATGTAAAATCCCACATCATCTGCTTTCTTTTCTTCCATCTGTAAGAACTTGAGTTGCCATATCGATGCTGGTTTCGCTTATTGATTCTTGTTCTCCGTGAACTTGGTGTCTGTAGGACGAGGGTCTTGATGTCATATCAGAAGGCTTGGAAGCACTGAAGAATTTGGCCCATGACATGAACGAGGTTTGTTGCTTCCTCAACCTTGCCCTGTTTCTTATCCATTCAGCCATGGACGAAGACTTCACATCTTTGGATTTCAGGAACTCGACAAGCAAATTCCGCTGATGGACGAAATCGAAACAAAGGTGACATTTCCCACTTCTATCGATCGATTAACAGAAAATGCAGAGGACGACGCCAAACGATAGCTTTCTCGTCGTTCTTGTAGGCGGATAAAGCAGCTTCGGATTTGAAGAACACCAACGTCAGACTCAAGCAGAATCTTACAAAGGTAAAATTAAAAAGAACCAAAGATTGAAACTTTTACGATCCAATATGTTAGTTATCTCACAACAGGCATGTATATATACATATACATATGCTTGGATTTGCATATACTTCAGATGAGGTCCAGTCGTAACTTCTGTCTCGACATAATTCTGCTCTGTGTGATCCTCGGAATCGTCTCTTACATCTACAAGTAAGCCTCTTGTTTACTTCAGATTCTCATGAGAGTTAAAAGGGCTTTTGGGTTTTTCTATTAATATGTTTCTTGGCCAATTAATTTTCAGTGCTATGAAATGAGAGAGAGCAGCTACAAGAAGAACAACATTGTGGCCGTTGCAAAAATTCTGGTAACTTTGTGTCAGGAAACACTTTTATTTTGCAAAAAACTTGGTTTTTTTTTTAAACCTAAGAAAGAGGAAACTGTTTGTCTGATGGGTAATAATCATCTACTCATTTGAGAAGTGACTTTGTGATAAGTAAAGACTGTGATTGTGTTCCGAGTGGAAACTAGTTTATAATTATAATATATATATATATATATATATATATATATATAAAGTGTGGTGATTGTGAAACTAATGATGGAGAGAATTGAAAGAGGAAACCATTATGATTGAGATGTTTGTGTAAATATGTATAAAATGGGTTTATTATAGGGTTAAGATATTGATTTTAATTGAAAATAGATTTCATTTTATACATACATATATATAGATATATGTAATGCGTGTGGAAAGTGGGTATGCGTGTAAGTTGATGTCAAGGAATTGGTGCAAAGACTTGACTAGTAGTGTTTGGAAGGGAGAGTGATGTAACACAGATGGCCATGTGCCCATCTCACTCTCCATCTCTATATTTGTACTTGTACTGTCTCTGCATCGCCGGTCGATAATGCCTTTGAAATCATATATTATTTTTTTTTATAATTATCTTCACGTATTAAGTTAGGTGAAAAAAAATTATTTAAGTATAGTGTGTAGTCTAATATTTAACTTGATGTGATTTTTATTAAACCAAATCTATTAAATTCAAATAAATATATCACTAATCGTTAAAAAAAATCTGGATTAAAAATAAATTTAGTAAAAATATTTTTTTTAAAACGAATATGAAACAACGAGATTTGATATAAAAATTAATAGGTATTATTATTTAATATATATATATATATATATATATATATAAAGATTGAATATAAAAATAACGAAAGCCAACATTGAATAAAACCTGAAATATTCACAATGATAAATGGCAAAGAAGTTATTCGAATTGCATGGCCTCGTCGTAAATATCTTTTGTCATATTATTTTTAACTTCGACGAATATACGACTGTTTATAATGATATAGAAATAGAACTGTTTTTGGTTGTCATGTAAATTAGAAGTGAGAGGAAAGGACCACACACACATGACACATGCATACAGAGATTCGTTTTTTATTTACCCATTGGTGATGGAATTTAGATTTTTAATACCCATATATATATATATATATATATATATATATATTGCAGTATATACAACCTTACACGCGCATGTGTGTGCATGTAAGGAAAAGGGAAGGCTTTGTTCGAAACTTTCATGTTACATGTGTGTGTATGTCTGTATGTGTGTATATATATGTATAGGTTTTGAAGAAGTAATTGAAAGAGACCGTGCAGGAGGACCAACCAAATACAAAGTAACAAATGAGAAGTATCTTGTTCTCTTAACCAACAAGATCCAAGGGCTTCCTCCCAAAATTGGTTTCCGATTATATAGATAATATATATATATATATATATATATATATATATATGGGGGGGGCGTGTGTGTGTATTTACATGTGTTTGTTAGAATTAAAAGTTTTGTTCTTATATATACATATATATGGATAATAAAAGAATAGAGGAGACAGAGACCTAATCCTCTTCTTTTATGTCCGTGGAACATACATATATATATATATATATACGTATACTTGTTGTAGAAGTACTGAAATGGTGTCCATTTGGATGTCACGAATATATACCTTACAAATACGTACACTATGCATGCGCATGCACATAGCATATACACTATGCACACGTCAATAGAACGGCTAGATTCTGTGGAATATATTATTATGGTCCGTCACATGAGTCGTACACAAGCCTCAATTCTGTGTGTTTATTAGATCTGCTTAAACATATAGATAACTCGAAGTTCTATAAGGTACTCCACCGTCTGTGTTTCCTTCTCCCAAGATTCCCATCTCCTCATCTACATTTTAAAAAAATACAATATAATGATGTACCATATTAGGTTTAATATTCTACTTATATATATATATATACATATATATATATATGTCATGAATAGAAAACACTTCAACAGACTACTTCAAAATATGGACATTGTGTGGTATTATCTATAGCTTCTATCCATCATATATAATTCGGCTGATTTTACATATAAATATATATGGATATTGGTTTTGTAATGTCATGAGTTATTTTGAGAAAAAGGAGGCAATGAGCCATTAATTGTAGAAAGGTGGGCCAACTGTTCAAGTTAGATGTAGTTGGGCCGTAGTTGGGCGGAAAGCTCGGTGAACATCCTCATTATAAAAAAAACAAAAGGGAAGCAATGAGGAGAGTGACTACCTTAGCCCTACCAAGGCCCATAGTGGCAAGGCTAAATACAATTTGCATAGCGGCCAGCACAAAGATGAAGAAACTCAGCTGATTCAACCCTTCTCGTGAAATTACTGGTGTATTTTTCTGTCATTATGTACACCCATAAATCAAAATCAATATATATATAGAGAGAGATTTCCTAATTTAATATTGGATTGATATATATATATATATATATATCCACTGTTATTTCTTGAAAGCACCATATAATTAAGGGCAGGAAACCTTGGAAGAGCATTGACCAGAGGCGGGATCATCACGAGTGCTTAGTTTGATTCTATGACAAGGCAGCATTCGATTGGCATACTTTGTGGGCACACAGATTTTAGAAACTGGTCCTTGAATCACCGACGCTCTCTCTCTATTTCTCTCTCTACATATAGATACAAATATATAGATTATCTATACACATATATATAGATAAATATCAAATCATCTGTAAAACTCAAAGTAAAACGGGCGCTGCAAAGAATATATATATCTATTTTAGTAAAAAAAAAATGTCACATTCCATTAGAATAATATAGTTTTAATAAAATTGTGCTTAAATGATGACTGGTTTTATTCGAGAGTTTGGTAGAATATATCGAATATATATCAGTGAATATTTAATAAAATCATATATATTGGATGAGACCAATTGAATAACTTTTGTGGGAGACATACATTAGGCTTTGTTATGAAAAGGAAAAATTGCACATGAAATTGAAAACAACTTCACACTGATTATTTCAGGACATACGACAGGAATCAAAAAAAGGCATCTTTCTGAATCCTACAGTAACACACACACACACACACACATATATATATATATTGTATGGGGTTGTATGTATGTATGCGTTGCTCATAGCTTTGGATTGGTTGTATCAAATCTCTTTGATGTTAGATATTTAAAATTTGAAAATAAATAAAGAAAAAAAAGAAAATTATATAAGAGGAAAATAGATGCCCTTCCTTATCTTCAATGGAAAAAATAATTGGTGTTCAGAAATTCTCTAATCACCAATAATTTTATGTTCTTTTATTCGCTTTCAAACATTGTATACATTATGTGTATAGAAAAAGGGTAACATATTACATCAATTATTTATGCAGGTGTGTCACACCCTTTTACATATGACAAAAATAAATTGTTTTTATACAAGAGCCAACAAATTCAAGTTCAAATTTTAAAAATGAATATCATTTCATTATCGCCAGCACCAATAATTAGCCAAAAAAAATACACCCGAAGTAACAAACTATAGATTGTGTTTAATAAAAAAAAAACATATATACAGACATATCAAAGAATATGAGTCACTCAAATGTATCCCCACTCCCATTTTGATTTTACTTTTCTTATAAATTGACAGGATTTAGAAGAAAAAAAATATCAGTTCACACTATAAAAATATATAGTTATACTACAAAATCATGAACAAATTTATATATATATATATATCCTCTCTTTTTTCTTCTTTTTTTTACCCTCTTTTCCTTTTTCTCTATATATTATATAAATTAACATTTCTGAATTTTGATACCACAAAACCATGAATAACAAAACTAAGATTGATAAATCTCAAAATTTCAGGGGAAAAAAAAGGGGAAACGTTCTTGATCTGGAGGGAGAGATGGAAGACTACGGAAGAGGACAGCAGTCATTTCTTGTCTTTTTGCATTTGATAATTAGATTTCCTTTTTTTCCCCCGGTGGGGGACCCATTTCCCGAACCCCTCTCACGGGTCTCTCTCTCTCTCTACATTTATATACACATAATACACATATATATATATATATATATATATATATATTGGTTCTATCGTCAATGTCATTAAAGAGAGGTAGCAAGCATAATTAGATGTATGAACTTAAATTAGATGATTGAAAGAGATGTGTTCTCAATTAGCTAATCTCAATTTTAGAAGACACATCGGATTTAATTCCACCAATGATGAATCCATAATTTATATAACATCGAAAATAATATAGCAGAAAGCAGATTTGTTTTCCAAGTTAATCTACTAACTGAAAATTTAATGGAAATTTTTTTTTTTTGAGATTATGATAAGATCAACAAGGATGTGATTCTATATATATATATATATGTACGTATGCATGTATCCCCTACCTTTATATATATGTATGTATGATTATTGATACATTTGATGTCTTCAAATGTAGTTATGGCTTAATTAACCATGACATGATGGGTTTTTTTTTACCGCATTATAAGTTTGATTGCTGGCTGTAAAGGCAACTTCCTTTTTCTCGTCTTTGCCCTTTTTACATGGCTTTTTACTCTCTCTCTCTAAATCTTTCTTTCTTTTTATATGCTTTTGATCTCACTTGGGAATGTCCTGTACATACACATGTACAATGTTGCCATATTTTTATGTTTTTTTTTTGGTTCTTTAATTCTGTTACTAGCGAGTGAATAAATACGATTTTAGGACATGGATTTGATTGATGCCTCTTAAATATTGATTATTCGATTAGCTTTGATTAGTACTTTTAAAAGGTGCATCTTCATTATGATCCATGGTTACTATTTCCTGTGATATATTTTGAACTTTATATTATGAAATATTCAATTTTTTTTAACTATAAAGTTTTATTGTTGAAATCGAGAGCTTGGAGATCAATTCCTTTTCTATGATACCATTCTGAATTTAATTATCTTATGCATTGGTTCATGAAAAAAATCAGATTTTTGTTAAAAAAAATATTACCAAATCAAATTAAACCGAATCAAATCAAACCGAATCAAAACGGTCTATAAACGAACTATATACTAAATAGAACTATCAGAAATACATAAATACACATAATAGGGTTGGTAACATTTCGTGTGTTTTTTTCCATATTAAAACTTTATTTTATAGATCAATAGTGTTAACTTACAAATTAACATCGCTTAGTTTTAAAGATTGACGTACATCTCCTATATATATATGTCGATACATATAGATGCATGTGGTGTTGGATAGACTGTGGTCCAGTTCGAGTCTCTCGCTGACCGACTTTTTTAAGATATCATGTCGTGCGCGTCTCAGAGAGAGAGAGAGAGAGAGAGAGAGAGAGAGAGAGAGAGAGAGAGAGATTCCCTCTCTCGCCAGCTTTCTTTTTGGTGTTATCCTACAAGACTCTATGCAAAGTGAACAAATTTCGCTATCAGAACAAAAATATAATAAAATTCATGAAAAAGGTTTATAATTTTTTCTTTCACATCAACGACCCCCCAAAAAAAAAAATCGAACCTTTTTTTAAACTTTCTTGGAGAGGAAAAAAAAAACCCTTCTTTTCAACCCCCAATTAAAAAAAATTCCAATCTTGAATATGTCTCTTGCTGTTTCTTGGCCTTTGTAGGATGAAATTTTACTGAAATTATATAATCAACACTCCACATGCTCTCTCTCTCTCTCTCTCTCTCTGTCTTCTTATACTCCGAGTTCTTACCTTGTTTTGGTAGAGATTTCTAAGACAAATTAAGTTAGTTTCTATATATCTGTCTGTGTTCCTGTTTTGTCCTCTTACCTCGAATCTCTGTCAACCACACCAAACATGATGATGCCAGATGATCATCTCCATCTCCCATTCCCTAATTTCGTTCATCAACAAGAACCCATCAACCCAAATCCAAACCAAAACCCTAACCCTACCTCCGCAAAACCATCCAAGAAGAGAAGAAACCTCCCAGGAACACCAGGCATGTATACATACACATATATGTGTGTGTAGATGATATATATGTGTTTGAAGTGATGCTCTAGAATCCAAATCTTGAATCTTTTCTTTGATTTCTTGATGTTTTTTTTTTTAATTTTGCTTCTTGATCAAATTAAGCATACAGTTTTCTCCAAATCTTGGATCATTTATGCGATATTCCCTTCTTGACGGGTTTGTTTTTCTTGGTCTTTGTTCGAACCAAAACCAGATCCAGATGCAGAAATCATCGCTCTATCCCCAAAATCCCTCATGGCGACGAACCGATTCGTCTGCGAAATCTGCAACAAAGGGTTCCAGAGAGACCAGAACCTGCAGCTTCACCGAAGAGGCCACAACTTGCCATGGAAGCTGAAGCAAAGGACGAACAAGGACCAAGTGAAGAAGAAAGTGTACGTATGCCCCGAGAAAAGCTGCGTCCACCACGATCCTGCTCGAGCGCTCGGAGATCTTACAGGAATCAAGAAACACTACAGCAGAAAACATGGAGAGAAGAAGTGGAAGTGTGAAAAGTGTTCCAAGAAGTATGCTGTCATGTCCGATTGGAAAGCTCACAGCAAGATTTGTGGAACCAGAGAATATAGATGCGATTGCGGCACCCTCTTCTCCAGGTATATACATCTATATATATATATAAGAGTATCTGAACCTTTTGGCCGAACTATATATATATATATATAGATGTGTGTGTGTGTGTGTGTGTTCATATACATACGCACATATGTTTGTTTGTGGGTTTGTCTTTGTTTGCGTTATGGTGTGTGTGTGTGTGTATATATGCACAAATTTAGTATAGTATTTGATGTGTCTCGATTTGCATGTACGCGTTGTCTCAAGTGCTTTACAAGTATTCATCTTCAGAACCTTAACTGAAAACCTAGGAACTGAGTTCCAAATGAATCTGTAATAAATTCAGAAAAAGACGTTTGTAGTAATGTTAAATACGCAGATTCTTGGCTTGTAGCTTGTATTTTTGCACCACGAATGTTTACTCTTGGACTCTTTCTGGACAATACGAATAACGATGGCACAAAAACAAAGGTTACCCTATGATTAGAACATGATGGTCATGTCGTGATATATAGGTTTAATTTTCAAGACGACTCATATATAAAGGGCATGTGTATACGTACATTTACATTGTGTATTAATGTATATATATACACACATGTATACGATTGATTCAGTACTTGTTTTGATTAATGTAATTTGAACACAGGAAGGACAGTTTCATCACTCATAGAGCCTTTTGCGACGCTTTGGCCGAGGAGAGCGCGAAGTTCGCCTCGGTTCCGCCGTCGGTTCCCACCAACATCAATCATCAACATCAACCACCGAACGCCACTCCTTCCCAGTTGGATCCTACCCTCATTGGACATGGCCTCAATCTCAACGGAAACACCAATGTCTTGTTCGGACAAAGCTACTACACTGCCAGCGCTGGTCTTCATCCCGACCAGATCTCACCGCCTATGAACATTCTCGCGTTGTCTTCCTCCTCCCCTCGTGGCACGTTCGAATCTCTTCACAATCTATGGCAGTTGCAAGGACAGTCTGCTTCTCATCAATGGCCGCTCAATAGCAATCCCAACAGCAGTTTACAAAGGGGACTGATGCCCAAGAATCAAGAAGATGAGATCAAGAAAGGAAGTGGTGGCAGTGGAAGTAGAAGTTTGAACCCGATGACGGATCCGTCTTTATCTTCTCTGTTCACGCCGACCAACAATAACCAGAACGTTCAACAACAAGCAGCTTACATGTCGGCTACCGCCTTGCTTCAGAAGGCGGCTCAAATGGGGTCGACAAGATCGAATTCAAACGGTACAACCGCTGCTTTCGGGCTAATGACTTCTTCTCTCTTCAACAACACGCAACCAAACACGAATTCTATCAAGAAACGAACAGATACTACGGAGAATAATCAAGATTCAATGGCGAATATGAAGAACAAAGCTTCAATGCCTTCTTCGAGTGTGGGTGAAGCTGGAGGATTGACAAGAGACTTTCTTGGAGTGGGAAGACATGAACAACAACAACAACAACACCGTCTTCATCATCATTTGTATCCGTCAAACGGGGCATTGATGTTGAAACAGAACCAACCTGGCTTTGGTCCAGCCACTGCCGGCTCAGCCGCCATAGACATGGGCTCTACGTTGTTGAAGTAGAAGGTATGGCGGATATCGATGTGAGTTTTTTCGACAATCTAAATGGTTGGAACCAAAGTACTTTCGTACGGACAATTATACGGAAGAGTAGGTTTTTATAATGCTACTCATATACAGCGATCACGTAAGGGCATCTTGTTTGTAACTTTCGTGTAATTGCAGAAACGAAGGAGGCTAAACGAGAAAGTGTAGCGAAAAGATGGGGGCAAGGAAAAGTTAGGCTCGGAGAGAATTTCTGAGTCAACTCAATGCACTAGACCGGGTCAACTCGGTTGACGAAGATGAAAAAATATTTTGGGTCCACTCGCTGCATGCATGGGGAAACCATTGGCCATGCATGGCATTGTATGTACTTTCCTTATGTTTCTCGCTTTCTAATTAGTGTGGAGGAAAAATCTCTTGTTTGGAATAATTTTGTGAAAAAGAAAGACCGAGGAGCAGTGTGTTGTGTTACCGCATTAATTAAATATTCGTGTAATCGAAAAATTAAATTTCATTTATACTAGTTTACTAAACTACGTAGATTTTAAATCTTTGATTCTAGTATATAATATAAATATTTGCTAGTTTTTTATTCGAAATTCAATTAGAAATATATATATTGTGGCGGCATATATACTAATTAAATATAACGGAATACTACTGCACAAGCTTTTTGGATTTTTTGTGTTCATATATATTTTAAATATACATATATGTATACATATATATATATATATGTAGTTGCAAGGTAGATCTATTATGTTGTTTGAAAAAAGGGATAAGGACACCGACACTTAGATAAACTATCAATGTCACATACACTCACATATTAGAATTGCGGTTGTACTATCAATTACAAGGCGTTTTTCTATAAATAATTTAATTTATAATTATTAGCAGCGAGTGAGATTGAAAAGAAAAGAAAAATTAGAGTGGTAACTAATTGGTTACATTTATATAATATATGACATTGAGTTATCTTATAAAATTAAACCGTTCAAATTTTATTTTATTTTACGTGGCTTCCATATCTTTAGCAATATATATCTAGCTAACTCATAATTTTCCTTGAAAATTAAGATTCAACAATATAATAAACCCATAGACATAATCATACATTGATACAGGCAGTCTCATATGATATAATTAGAAAATATAATTATATAATATTGCCAATAAAATCTTCGAACAAGAACCTTAAAAAAACAACTTTCGGACAAGAACGAACTTTGAAAAACACAAACTGATTTAACACAGAAAAGAAAAACAGCGAAAATTAAGAAACGAAAGGAATCTCACTCACGCGATGATTGCGATTATAAACACCCAACAATTTCTTAATTTTTTTTTTCACAAATAGAACCATACAAGAGAAGCAATGAAGAAGCAAAACGACAACGTTTCACGGACAGGGCCGACGACAGGCGGAGCTAACGAGGCATCGGCCGGAGAATCGTCATCGGGGCTATTTGCGTGGCTCTTCTTCTTCGACTTGACCACCGACGGAGCCGGCGACGGAGCCGGTGGACGAGGATCAAATACCTGCTGAGGCCGCAAAACCTGGTCGATCTGTACAGATTTTTAAAGTTAGAAACTTTTGGATTATTTTCGATATTCGTATGTACTAATATTAAATTAAGTTGGACGTATTATGTATCAATTTTTTTTAATAGATTTTATGCTCTAATGATGAGTCTAATTAACATTTTCGTAAAAAAACGATAAATATTGTGTAGGTATATTTAGTAATTTTTATTTATTTTATGAATAAAAATTAAAATTAGTAAAAGCCATTTTTTTATATATATATTTAGTGTTTGTCACAATTAGACCCCACGATTTCTCAAGGCAAATTCTTATAGCCCATTTTGCGAAAATATTTTTATAAATCTAGAAAATCTTTTGAATTCATTAACCATGTCTAATGGATCAATGTACAATGGAACCATATATAATATCAATTTATTCGGTTTCATATCCTTGTGAATTCGACATGTCAGAGTTTCAAAATTTATATTTTCAAAATTTATTAACAACCACCACTTTTAAAATAAAAATAAAAATAAAAAGAGAAAAAGAACCTGGTAAATCGCGAGCTGGGCATCGCTGTAAACATTGCCGGAGACAGAGGTGTTGGTGAGGCCGGACGTGAGATTTACGGAACTGCCGTTGGTCGTGACGTTCAACGGAAAATGCCCGTCGGCGGAATCTCCGGCCTGAGTCCGGAGAGGATTACTCACCGTCTGGAAATTAGAAGAAGATATGAACGTTGGTATGACGTGGAACTGAACCAGCTCCGTCTGCTGCTCGTCCGTGAGGGAATTCAACGTTCCGGATTTCAGAGCCGAGAAGGCCGAGTCGCTCGGGGCGAAGATCGTTATCCCGTTGTCGGAGTTGTTCAGCTGTCCGTACAGCTGGCTGGCCACTCCGGTGGCTTTCAGGAGGCGTATGAACACTGTGAACTGCCCTGCTTTTTCTAGTATCTTTGTGACGTTTGTGGGGCCAGGAGGCGCCGGAGCCATCGCCTGAGACGGCTGGGTTAGGGCTCCGGGGAATGTGGCGGCGGCGGCGGCCAGGAGGAGGAGGACGGTGGCCGGAGAAATGTCCATGGACGTGATATTCTATTCTATGTATGAGGATGGTTGAGTGTGTTTTCTTTCTTCGTTAGGGTTTTATACGTGAGTTTGGAGTGTGGGGAATTTGATTGGTTAAGGGGTCGTAATTTTCATGATTAATACTCCAATCTAAATCCAAATCTAATAATATTATCAATCAATAATGATTTGATTTTGCGAAAATTCCATCACACCTTCTTGGGGTAAAAATATTTGCTTATTTATTATACACTTTATAGATTTTGGACTGATGATGATTAATAGGGGAATATATTATGGTTAGGCTAATGATTTATTTGTATGAATAATAAGAAAATTAAGTTACCACTCAAGATTTGAGATTAAGTTTTTATTCATTTTGGTAGTCTGGATTATCAATGTGAATCAAATGAGATATATAGCTGTATCAAAATCAAATGAAAACAAAATTTTAAATGGAAAAGTTCAAGTAAAAATATGAACAAATTAAAATAAAAAATGATAAAAACAAGTCAAAATAAACAATTTTTTTATACAAAAAAAAATAAAAGCAAACAGAACTAAATTCAAAACAAGAATTTAATGGGTATAGAATTTACAATAAAAAAATGCTAAAAAATTGCTAATCAAATTTGAATAGACATACAAAATATTAATATAATAATGAATTGGTAATAGCAAAAATTAACGAGAAAATAAGCGAATTATTTGGTAATTCCTTAGATACTTTGATGGGAAACTAAGGAGAGTGATATGATAACGGAAAGAGCAACTTGCAACTTTGCTTTGAAAATAAGATTTAAAAAATAAAATCCAGGAATTTTGATGTGTGGTGTGGGCTCTATTTTCGGCCAGTCTGTAAAGCTTGTCTAACATATTTTATATATTTTTATTTATATTTTTGTTACCGGAATTTCTTAATTTTTTAGATCAGATTACTCTTGAAATTATTTACATTATACATATAGATTGAAACTAAATGCTTTGATTGAATAGTACAATTTACTATTTTCCTTCTCAATCACTTCAAAAAAATCCTCGAATTCCAACGGATTTGTCCGTTGGAAAATTTTCAACGGATTTTCAACGACGTTTCAACGACGATTTCCGTTAAAATTCTGTTGAAAATTTCCAACGGGTATCCGTTGGAAACACCCGTTGGAAATTTTTAATGGAATTTTCAATGTATTCAATTGAAAAATTGGGTTGAAAATTTCCAACGGTATTTCCAACGGATATCCGTTGAAAATTTTCAACGGATTAACGTTGGAAAAATCGGTTGCAAATTTTTAACGGAATTCCAACGGATATTTGTTAGAAAACAATTCCAACGGAATTCCAACGGATGCCGGTTGGAATTTTTTTTGGAAATTTTTTTTTAAAAAATTTCAACCGAATTCCAACGGATACCGGTTGAAATTTTTTTTGAAAATTTAAAAAAAAATTCCAACGGACATCGGTTTGGAAATTTGGATTTTAATTGAAAAATCAATTGAAATATATATATATATATATATTCGAATTCATATATATGTATGTATAATATATATTTGTTATGTATATATAAAATATATATACACAAAATATACATGTATTTATATATATATATGTATGTATAATGTATATTTGTTATGTATATATAAAATATATATATACAAAATATACATGTATTTATACATATATATACGTATAAATATATAAAAGACTCGTATATTTAAATATATATATACATACATATA